GCCCAGACTGGCGTAATGGTGTGGAGCATTTTACATTCGGACTAAGTGCCGCACGTGACGTCACATTTCGAGTGGAACTTTCGGCAACCGCAAAGCTGTTTCACCTGTGGACAGTTTGGCGAGAAGCTGTGACTTATGACATTGACAGCACGACACAGCGGTAGTGTTTGGCCCGTGCACAGCGGACAGTGGCATTCCAAATTGGTTGTAAGCCGCGCTAAGCGCTGGGTTAGATTCTTGCAGCGCCTGTCCTGACATCGGTGGCGCGGGGAATGACCCGACCGCAGGTAGCCAGCGGCATTCACGGCCGCCGTGCTAACACGCGGACGTCGCTGCCGCCTCTTGCAGGCGCAGCAGGAGGCCACCGAGATCCAGACGGAGTCGGCCAAGACCAGGGAGGAGGCGGACGGCCTGCGGGAGGCCGCCGTCGGCATGGTCGTCCAGGTGTCGGACACCACCGCCAGCGTGGAGGCCTACGAGCAGCAGGTGGGTCATCGTGCGGGCTGGCTGTCGCCGCGAGCTGCGCGACCGTCCCGAGCAGCAGCGGGCTGACTGCGACAAGTCACGCTGGATGTGAAATATTGCTGACTGGGTGCAGACGATCTGGATGTTCGTGGGTTTTGGTTGGAGCTTCTCCTACCCGGTGTGTACAGTCTCGGAGCTGTAAAGAATCGAGTAATGTTATGACATTCTTCGTCAACCTAGAGTTAAAGACCCACTCATCAGTTATTAGCGAGTCCTCACCGCACTAGGCGGAATGTGGCGTGCTGAGGAAGGGCTGACGACAGGGGCGGCTGCCAGACCAATCCGACGTTGGAGACATCGCCCAAGTGCTTGTTCGATGGGGCATTCGGGAATACGGGACTGGGGATGATACAGGGTAAAAGCATGGATGCGTCTGAGCTGCCACAGAGGGACGCTGCCAGCTAAACGTTTAGAGTTGAAAGGCTGCGTTAGCCTATACCGGTATCTGGTTGTTGTGGTTGGTGTTCATCTCACGGGACAGTAAGCGGCAGCTCCAGGGACTTCGGAACGGTGTCTGAACGGTTTCGACAGTAAAACTGATGTTTCTTTACGCTTGTTCTGGTAATATGTACGCGGCGTATTCCAGTGGTCGGCAAGGACCAAATGCGCCCGCGTTTCGACTCTGGCAACCAGCTCGTAACGTTTAGTTCTTTATCAAGACGATAGATGGTGTTAGACCACGACAGTTGCTGACATCACTCAGCTTGGCTGGGTCAGTTTGTTGATTCCTCTGTGTGCCCCCTCTAACCCTGTCGCTTCTCCTCAGCTGAGTTCAGACAGCAAGCTCGCGCTGGAGGCCCGCCAGAAGGCCAACCAGGCCAAGTCGAGCGCGGAGGCGGCCTCGGCGAAGGTGGACGCGGCGCTGGCTGTGGTGCGGGAGGTACAACAGGCGCTGAGGGCCGCCGGCGACATCGACTCGGCGGCGCTGGACCAGCTGGAGAGCCGACTTCAGGAGGCGGAGCGCGAGCTTGACGAGGCGCAGCTGCAGCAGCGGCTGGATGCGTTGCGCACCAACCGCACCCAGCAGGACCGCATGGTCAGTGGGAGGGGACAGCGAGACAGCATGGTCAATGGACGGGGTCAGCGAGACAGCGCGTTCAGCGGGGTGGGCTCAGCAGGCCCACGTTGCCAGTGGGGCGGCATGAAAAGGTCCCAGTTGTAGCTCTCGATTTGAGTACTCCTAGGAGCCTTCACGCTCCTGTTGTTTTGTCCGAGAGCGTTCGGCTTTATGTGAGCTGCGTTACCAAACAGGCATCTCGGTATTCCTAGCTGCGAAAATCTGTTCCGCAAAAAGGCAGACCGGTCGAACCCACCGCTAGGCCTGGCAACCTCTCACACCTCACTCCGCCTCGCAGCTGCGCGACTACGAGGAGCAGCTGGCGCTGCTGCGGGACGAGGTGGCCAACATCGAGGAGATCGCCGACGCGCTGCCCACCGCGTGCTACGCCCGGGTCAAGCTGGAGCCCTGACGTGGCGGCGCGCGTCGCTTCACACAATCACCCCACTGCCTCAGTGCCAAAAGACAGCGCGCGCGGCGGTCGGTCGAGCTTGCTTGCGCGGCGCGGACGGGGGCGCGGTGGGACCGCCTGCCGCGGGCGCTTCTCTCACGGGGAGGCCCGCGCATGCGCCTGGGCGCCCGGCCGCGCACTGCCACTGGTGCTATTTGAAGTATTACCCCGTTTTTTACTCGATGAGCTGCGTCGTGACTCGTGTTGTACTGAGAGAGGCGGGGTCGTGTTCGTGTCGGCCTTCGTGGTAAACGATATGCATGCCCGTCAAAATATCGCCGGTGTTTGATGGAATACATGCCAACTGTCAGTGGGCTGGAGAGTTGTGGGGCTTGTCATGTGTCATCATAGTTTGATGTAGTCGTGAGTCTCCACGAGGAGGAAACTTTGTTCTCGGTAGATCGATGCACCACGTTTTGAGTATCCACCACCTCGGAAAACGGGACCTTATTCACGTCATCGTGTGGAGAGAGAATAAAACTGCATAAAAGAAACCTGGAACCCCTTTGGTGTGACTGAAAACGGCCACAATTATCACATGGGAGACAGTTAAATGCAATAGATTTCCGTTCAGAGGCAATGCTATACGTCATTTTGAATCCCAGACCGTCGCTAAAGGCCTACGGGTGCTGGGTCGCAGGTGACGAAACTGCAGAAATGTGATCAGGTAGTGACGCATCTTGCTGTATGCTGACGACTGCTGCTCGATGTGTAGCTGGGGAACCACCCATCTGGGTCGTGATGATTCAGCTATGATGCACAGTAACAAGAATTTGCATCAGCAGAATTTGCACATTGATTACAGGCACCTGAACGTGCAGACTGCAGAGGAGGCTGGATGTAACGTCACTGAACGGCCTCCGTGGAAATGCAGCCCAAACTGTCCGCCACCGGAGGAATGGGGTTCTTTTAGTGTCCGTGTCACTGTCCACCCCTCCCCCTCCCACCCGTCATGAAACGTTTACCGCTGCTTGCGGTTGTCGAAGATTGTAGGCTTGATCTACCTCACCTGCGGCACAGGGGGATAATCGGCCCAACAGCACTATACTGATGTTATCGGTGGCACCTCCGGGTTCCCAGCCCTGGACGCCAGGCTTGGTGTTTGAACTAGGATATGTTGAGCTGGTTCGCAGCCTCAGATCAGCAAGCAGTGACGCAAATTGTGCGGATGGGCTTACAAGGCTTTGATCCAGAAGGATTAAACCCAGCTGCATAACAGCTGGTGCCAGGCACCGTGGAGATGTTCAGATTCCTGTACCATTCCACAACCGGCTGGACATCGGGGCGAGGTTAGAGGGGAGGGGCAGCGAGACCCATGACCTCTGCAGTTTGGCGGTGTGTCATGGCGACCAAGTACAGTGAGCAGATGCATGAGGAGCAGGGCGAGATCATCGTGCACCACCTGCAAAATGGTGCACGGCCGGCTTCTCGAGGGCACGACAGGCGCCCGCCTGGCCCAGCTAGCGCAGATGGCGACGCTCCATGGGGTTGCGGGATTGCTGCGTGGCGTGTGGCGCCCAGACGTGGGGTCACGCCTCGACGGTAATACTCCCTGGGGTGCGCCGTTGCTGCGTGGCGTGTGGCGCCCAGACGTTGAGTCACGCCTCTACGGTAACACTCCCTGGGGTGCGCCGATGCTGCGTGGCGTGTGGCGCCCAGACGTGGGGTCACGCCTCGACGGTAACACTCCCTGAGGTGTGCCGTTGCTGCGTGGCGTGTGGCGCCCAGACGTAGAATCACGCCTCGACGGTAACACTCACTGGGGTGTGCCGTTGCTGCGTGGCGTGTGGCTTGGCAGAACGACGCTTGATGGGCGCGGAATGGCTCGCCGCGCGGGGTCACAGTTCTGGTGTGAAACCTCTTTGGGTGTGTGGAGCTGCGGGAGGGTGGTTATCGGCCCAGGTTTTTGCGAGGCCGTGGTGTAGCGTTTATGAGGCGGTAGGGCCTATGGCGTCGACATGTGAAACGGCCGGGTGACTAATGGGAACACACTACAGTGTGCTGACGGCTGGTCCAACCCACATACACCTTACTCAGCACACGTCAACCAAGCCGGTGTTTGTTGAGCTGGAGCAGCTCACCTAGATTGGATCACTGTCAATACGTCATCGGGATCGGCGGGGCAGGCCAGTCCTGTGAATTCTGTTTTCGAGAAAACAGGATGGCCGCTCGACTTTAATGCAGTCGGAGGTCGATATGTGCGAGCCGCGACGGTAAGAGTTTTTGGAACATGCCGCGTGCCGTGCAACGCAACCAACTCATGCCCAAATCTGCGCATGCGGCACCACCGCGTTTATGCACCGCATTGTGTGAACAAGCACAACAGGACAGGGGCTGGACGGAAAATTAACATACACACACACATATATATATATATATATATATAACGTGACTAATAAACTAGACGGAAAATTCTGTTTTTATGTCGTTCGCGTTACATGATTTTAAGAACGCGAGATATATCACTATGGGAATCCGGGGTCCGCAATAGAAGAAGAATGCCCGCACTGTGCGCATGTGAAAGCGTTGGCAAAATTGGCGGCGATGATATTGCCGGGCATAAGAAGTGCGTTATTTACGGTAAGTTTTCAAAATATGTTGTAAAGCACCGAATGATACAACAAGGGATGAATGTGTATTGTGTTTCATCTAGAAACAGGCATCAGTTGTCCATAAATACGTAGCATTGGGGAGATTATGCTGCGCTGGTCTCGTCGACCAGTGTCGTGCTCAAGCGAATAATGAGTAGGCGGTTGCCCAATTCTATGTAATTCGTCGCTATGTATCGTGTGTGTACATCCATATATTTCAGTATGATATTCCCTCCTGAAACATTTAAGCTGCGAGAGTCGTGTTTGAACATTATCAATGAAGTTTATGTGAGATTTTGGATATTTTTTTGGGGGGGCTAAGTATCATGTGTGTACATCCATATATTTCAGTATGATATTCCCACCTAAAACATTTAAGCTGCGAGAATCATGTTTGAACATTATCAATGAAGTTTATGTGAGATTTTGGATAAATTTTTACTGTGGAAATGGGTAACTGGCTTGTTATGCTCTGTAACGGTTGAGTGGTTCAGGAAAGTCATACATACCCATCTTACTTTCTGATGCATGGTTGATTTTGGCACTGGCTCATGCTGTTAGGTGTAGGGGTACTTTCCTACCTAACATTAGAAAAAATTATTGCACACCATTCGTCGTGTTCAAGGCGGCACATATCGTAAATCATCTCAAAACAGGTAGAATCATGCTCCTACCTTCGAATTTCAATAACTTCGATGGCGAGCTCCCGAGCGCCGCGCGCACCGCGCCGCCTGGACTCCCCAGCGCCGTTTCTGCGTTGCCGTTGCGTAAATACAATATTTCTGCTTACCAAGAACTCTACAAAATGTACGGGACCAAGGTAAACCATTTGTCGTGTTTAAGGCGGAACATATCGTAAGTAATTTCAAAACAGATAGAATCATGCTCCTACCCTCGAATTTTAATGAATACGATAGCGAGCTCCCGAGCGCCGCACGCCGCGCACCGCACTGCCTCGACTTCCAAGCGCCGTTTCTACGTTGTTGCGAAAGCACAATATTTCTGCTTATCAAGAACCATAAAACATGTACGGGACCAAGGTAACAATAATAAAGCAACCAAAATCGTTTCTTATCGAGTTTTGGTACATTTATGAAACACGCAGGCCAGAATAGTCCAGAACATATCCTAACCTAACCTAACCTAACCTAACCTAACCTAACCTAACTGAGAATAGACCAGAACCTAAGCTAAGCTAAGCTAAGCTAGCCTGACCTGACCTGACCTGACCTAACCTAACCTAACCTAACCTAACCTAACCTAACCTGACCTAACCTAACCTAACCTAACCTAACCTAACCTAACCTAACCTAACCTAACCTCCCCACCCTATGTCCCCTTCAACCCAGCATCTCATTGGCATCCATGTTCCATGCCATATATAGGTGCCATATAGTGAGCTTTTATTTAGCTGCCATGTTCTCATTTTGCTTTACATTCCCCACCCAATCCCCCTGCAACCCATGGTCCCGTTGGCGTCGAGGATCAAATTTCATGGATTCTTGCTACCTTGTCCCGGTACATTTTTATGTCGCAGTAAATATGGTTTATAGTTATAGTGTGGTTTATATAGTATAGTTTATAGTTATAGTTATGGTTTATAGTATGGTTCGCAGTTAATATGGTTTATATGGTAAATATGGTTATGGTAAATATGGTTTATGTTTAGTAAATATTTTTATGGTTCGCAGTTAGGTTATGGTTGTCCTGCCTTAAACATGACGAATGGTTTACTTTGGTCCCGTACATTTTGTACAGTTCTTGGTACGCAGAAATATTGTATTTACGCAACGGCAACGCGGAAACGGCGCTGGGGAGTCCAGGCGGTGCGGTGCGCGCGGCGCTCGGGGCCCGCCATCGAAGTTATTGAAATTCGAAGTTAGGAGTATGATTCTACCTGTTTTGAGATTATTTACGATATGTCATGCCTTAAACACGACGAATGGTGTACAATGATTTATTCTAACGTTAGGTAGGAAAGTACACCCTGACCTGCTGTTATGTATTATTGTTTAGTGATTGCTTAGGCTTAATGCAATAATTGCGTAGGTTTGAAGGCTGGTTTTGTATGCAATCCTGCACTAATTTTGTCAGGCATGAATTATCTGCAAAATGCAATAGTTTAGAGGGGATTGGTTCACCTAGTGAGTTTCAGTGCATGGCGATTAAGTTTGAGAATCAACTCAGATTCTGCAAAGTAGCTCTTTGACCTTGGGAAATTTGGTAGAGCCTTCATTGTTGTCAGGGATTTTGCTGTGAATGGAAACAACAGTTGAAAATGCCATGTATCAATATGCACCCTTGTACCGCAAGGATTATATTCAAAACTTTGATAGATTTTTGATAGAATTCAGTGATATATAGGAAACACAAGGATGTCAGGTCAATCAGAAGAATATCCTACAGGTTTTTATACATAGGATGTGATAGCAAGTTTGCCATGCCCAGTCAGTTTGGGTATACATTTGGAAATAAGCACCCAAATTTTGTGTCATTTGAAGGGGCCACTAAGCACCAATTAGATGAGTGACTAGAACTCACTAGATTTCAGTGACCCACTGAGTGCAGTCTGTACAGTGCATTGGTCAGTGCACAAGTATTTTTGAGGATTGGTTCCAGATGTCAGCAACAAGAGCAGATGAAGATGTGAAAACAACTGTACATATGCCTTGGTCAACCCATGCTTGTACCGGTACCTGCCTGGAGAATGGCCAATGCCACTTTCAGGCCTGCCCTTGAATACAACTGGGTCCTAAGTAGTGAGCTGGGGTGATGAAATCTGCTCAGGTGTTTGAGCTTGTGTTGAAACCAATGTCCACCAAAGCATGTATGCTTTCACAGTGCTTCTTTCATAATCTCTGAAGTTATAAAACATGAAGCTCTTTATTTAGAATTGTCAAAGC